TTATTTTCAGATTACTATTGTCATAGCAGAAATACATTGTTTTTCTTTCAGTGATGTGATTTTTAAGATGTTCTGCATTCTTGGATGTCATTTTTAAAAATATTGGTATCAAAATAGTTTTCAGAGGACCACCTCATTAATTTTATCATTGAGGAGTGGGAAAATAACAGCTGAACAAAGTGTGTCATAGAATCCATTTCTCAGGAACGCAATTGTGCTGCATATAAAAGAATACCTTGAGGAAAAGAATACCTTTGGGAAAAATTATAGCTATTGTATTTCAAAAGATTCATCCATCCAACAAACATTTCTGGAGCACCATCTGCACACCAGTACTGTTCTTGGTTTAGAGATATCACAGAGAATAGAATTTCTGCTCCCTTTGTGCTTACCTTCAGGGGATGTAAGGAGAAGGTAGAGCTTGAAACACTTGAATTTTGTAGTGAAATTTAAAAAATATTAATGCAAATCACATTGTCTTCACAGTCAGATATAATTACCTGTGCTCAAGAAGTAGAAATGATGATAAAGCAGTTAGGAGCCCACCTGGAACAATTAAAAATGACTATAAAATCAAAGACTGCTGTCCCAACATCACAAGTCTTTGTAAGTATTTGCCATCAACTTTGACCTTGCTTAAGAGTGAACATACTTTATCAAAAAGAATGAAATCTTGCCATTTGCAACTACATAGATGGAACATTATGCTAAGCAAAATTAGTCAGAGAAAGAAAAATATCATATGACTTCACTCATATGAAGAATTTAAAATATAAAACAGATGAACATAAGGGAAGGGAAGCAAAAATAATATAAAAATAAGGAGGGGGACAAAACATAAGAGACTCTTAAATATGGAGAACAAACAGAGGGTTGCTGGAGTGGTTGTGGGAGGGGGGACAGGCTAAATGGGTAAGGGGCATTAAGGAATCTACTCCTGAAATCATTGTTGCACTATATGCTAACTAACTTGGATGTAAATTAAAAAATTAATTAATTAGTTTAAAAAAGAGTGAATATACCTTTGAATCCTATACAGTCAAATCATAAGTTGCCATCATTATATTGAATCACTAAAAATATAATATTTGCTTTTGTACAAGGTGATCCTATTCTTTATGGTTATTTTGTAGTAATCGTATAAGTTGGATGAGGGACTCCCCTCCACAGGCAGTTGCTACTGAAGGAAATGCAGGTGTATATTATGATAGGCGTAACACCAGCATAGGCTGTGTGAGTCCATAATGCAGTGTCGAAAACATGTTCGCAGGAGCTGGTTAGAAATTGCCTTCAGCAAAGGGGTGATACGACTTGTGTCCTTTATGAAGAGACAGAGCTAATCACGGTGTTTATCAAGTCTGCACTTACACTGCCTTTCTGATTATCTGCACCATCTTAGGGGCAAATCTGGTAGCCCTAAAGAGGTGTAGGATGTACATGCAGTATTTTACAAAGCATTGAGGTTCTGACAAGTTTGTGTAGCCATTCCCAATATTAGGTTTCACAAAAAAAGAAAAGGCTAAGCTGTTTTACTTATTAGTAAGGCCTGATTGATTTTTTATATGTTTGCTCTATAAGTCAGTGACCTTTAGTATGAATAAAAAATATTTTCTCTCGAGGCACCTGGGTGGCTCAGTAGGTTAAGCATCCGACTCTTGATTTCTGCTCAGGTCATGATCTCATGGTTTGTGGGTTTGAGCCCTATGTCGAGCTCTGTGCTGATAATGTGTAGCCTGCTTGGGATTTTCTCTTTGCCCCTCCCCGATCCCCTCTCTCTCTCTCTCTCCCCCCCCCCCCCATTGAGCCTCTCTCAAAAGTAAATAAAATAAACATTAAAAAAATATTTTATCTCACTGACCTAAAATCTTTAACTTGCAGCTCACAAGATATGCCCCAAGATATATCTCTAGGCTTTCAGGTTCTTTTAATCATGACTGAGTCAGATAAATCTAATAGTAATGAGTCATATTTAGCTTTTTTACAAAAAGAAGATATTTCCTCTTGGTTTTTTGAGGTCAAGCATCCATAAATCTTTCTTAGGTGATCAGATGTGTTTGGGTTTTTTGGGTAAACTAACTTTATGACAATTATACCAAAATAAACACAAGTTTGTTTCTCATGAGTCCAGTTGCTATGTAGATTTCGTTGTTTAACTTCATGAGACTGACTTATCTTTAAGAAGAATTTCTTTACAAACACAAATTTGTATTTGTTTTTAAAAGCACAGTGATTTGTAATTTTATTAAACAGTTACATTTTGAACATTCTTTTCTCTTCTTCAGCCTACCTTCATTGCACTTTCCAATCTGTGGACTAGCTTCCAGGATGAAACTGTTTTGGTTAGTGTCCTCAGTAATTTAACAACTCACCTTGAGCCATTCTTGGGTACTCATGAACTCCTCTTTCCTGAGAAAGTAATGCAGAATCTTCTTGATGGGCTGATGGTGAAGACCGATGTGTGTAGGATGAAGGAACACATGGGTAATAGAAACCATCCTTGACTTCCTCTATCTCTTAAAATTGCCTCTAGAATAAAGGCACTCTTTTGTTTTAAAATTTTTATGCTTGGAGTGCCTGGCTGACTCAGTCGGTGGGAATTCAACTCTTCATCTTGGGGTCATAAGTTAGACCCTGTGTTGCTTTTAAAAAAAGTTTGCTTAAAAAAAAAGTAAAATTTTTGTACTCTCTCCTTTTGATAAGATTTTGAAAATCTTTCTTGATTAAAAGAGTACTAATATTCATTATGGAAAGTGCAGGAAACAGAAAATATATAAGCTAAGTATCTTACTATTCAGTAATAAGAATTATTTTTTAAAATTTTAATGTTTATTTATTTATTCTGAGATAGAGAGCAAGTGGGGAGGGGCAGAGAGAGGGGGGAGAGAGAATCCCAAGCAGGTTTCACGCTGTCAGTGCAGAGCCCAGTGCAGGGATCAGTCTCACAGACCATGAGATCATGATCTGAGGTGAAATCAAGAGTTGGCCGCTTTACCTACTGAACCACCCAGGTGCCCCCAATAGTAAGCATTCTTAATGTTATTGTCAGTGTTTTGGTTAACAATGATTTTCCTTGCTTGTTTCTATTGTAGTCTTAGTGATTTTATTATTGATTTATAGTAGAAAAAGATATTAATGCTTGCCATATTTGGAGCTCTATTTCTTTAGAATTCTATTTGCCATTCATCTACCGCAGATTCAGGCTGAAGTTTATAAATAATGAATTTTATCCCTGTAAAATTGAGCTTATTTTAGGCCCTTTAAGAGGTGCACTGAGTCTTATAGGAAGGATATCTTTATCAACAAATTGCTTTTTAATTTTTTGGTATCTTTTGTCTTTATTAAAGACAATGTAAAGTTCATGAGAAATCCCAAAATAGAGTGGGAATTGTTGCCTAAAAGAAAGTTTTTCCAGAAAATGAAATTGGATAATTTACTCTCTAAATTTCTTTTACAAATTCAAATTTTGTAAAAGTGGAAAATGAAAATGAAGTTGTAATTTCCATTCTTCAACTACTGGACAATAAAAAAAAACCCTGAAAACTAAATTAGAGAGGCTCCAAAGCATCTTTCCAGTTAAAGTTTTTCCTACTTACTTTATTAAAGCAGAATATTTACACAAATATTAAGTGAAATTAAAAAGTTAAAGTCATTTTGGCTCAGTCAGTTAAGTGTCCAACTACGGTTCAGGTCATGATCTTGTGGTTCATGGGTTCGAGCCCTGTGTTGGGCTCTGTGCTGACAGCTCAGAGCCTGGAGCCTGCTTCAGATTCTGTGTCTCCCACTTTTTCTTCCCCTCCCTGGCTCATGCTCTGTCTTTCTCTGTCTCTCAAAAGTAAATAAATGTTAAAAAAAAAAAAAAAAAGTTAAAGTCACTTCAACAGTAGATGTTAAACCCATATTGGCAAGACAGTTTACTTCTTGGAGTTAAACGTGTCATTTTCCACCATATGTCACAACTTTTTATTCACCAGAACACTATCATGTTACTGCTCCAGTGAATTGGGAGACCGAATGTTCTTCTAAAAGAATTTAATTAACATTTGCCACATCTCGTCTCTGTGTTGAGGCTTTCAGGCATAGCACGAAAAAAGAAGGAAGGTGTATTTTCCCCAAAGTATGCATTTACTTTTAGTTGTAATCACAAGGGCATTTACGGTATTGCTGTTTTGAGGTAGAGCCAGACCCAGAATTGTAGTAGGATTGCAAAAGCTAAGAACCTTTGCGATCAATATTTTATAAATTGTGCTTGTGTAAAAAAAAAAAATGGAGATAATTTATCACATGTGAATAAGTAAGCAATCACCATTAGGAAGGATATTTTAAAGTGTAAAGAACAAAAATTGTGCACCTTGTTATCAAAATTAAATTACTAAGAGATATTTCCTTGAATCTTTCTGCCCAGAACATTCTCAGCTGTTTCAGGAAGCAATAGTCCCAGGACAGAAGCATCACACTCAAAGAATTTGCCCAGCTAGTCTATTATGAAGAGTCATGCAGCCTTGAATGAAGTTGATCTCTCTATTTTAGTCACACAGCAGCCAGTCTTTTCTGCTCATTTTCTTGGGTTGTTTACTCTTCTCTTTGATTAAAGTTTTTCTTGTCCTCCTCTCTCATTTCAGAAGATAGAGTACATCTGGTGGATTTCAGAAAACAAGAATGGCTTTTCCCAGAAACAACGGCCAATTTTGATAAATTGTTAATTCAGTATCGAGGATTTTGTGCTTATACATTTGCTACGACAGATGGTCTTCTTCTTCCAGGTATATTGTGGGAAACGATATTGCTTTGACTTCCCCATTTTTTCTTTAAATAAAGCCATCATTGTCACTTACTTACTCATTTTTTTTTACTTATCATTTTTTAAAACTTTATGGGATCTGATGATGAACTAGGAAAGGAGCCACAAAGATGATCCAGACCAAAGCCTTTATCTTTGAAGTGCTCACAGAATAATCTGGTAGACTGACATAAGCAAAAATTATACACAAATGAGAAGTGAGGTGCTTGCTTTGGCAGCACACATACTGAAATTGGAGCAATACAGAGATAAGCACAGCCCCTCTGCAAGGATGACATGCAAATTTGTGAAGCATTCCATATTTTAAAATGAAAACAAAAATGATAAGTGATGGAATATATATATAATGAAATCTGGATGCTACATTATCATAAAGAAGAAATGACTCATATGCCCAATGAGGGACTCCAGAAATTCACACGGCATTATTAAAATAGATCATCTTTCAAAGCCATTAGTTAAAAGAGCAACACTAATTTGGCTGATTATGCTTATTAAAAAATACTGTCACTTTATGGTTATATTCTGTTAACATAGATCAGAATTTCTTTATAAGTCAGGTCTGTCTAAGGAAATGGCCAATATTTTGGCCAAGTAAAATCTCTCTGTATATAATACTAGAGCTTCTCCCAAAACAAAGAGAAGGTCAGAAAATGAAGTGAAATAAATTATTATCCAAAAAGGCTGTATGAATTGGAAATAAAAAGTCAGCTAGGGCTAGAATGAAAACAATTCGACAAAATTATTTCTAATTTACCTTACACCATTAACCTCTTTCTTCCTTTTCTTCTTTCTTTGTTATTTCTTTTGTTTCGTTATATTGTGTGGTTGGATATTACTTTTTTTTATTAGAAAGAATTATTGGAACTATATACAGGCTAGAGAGTGCATATGAGGGGAGGGGCAGAGAGAGAAGGTGTGAGAGAGAATTCCAAGCAGGCTCTTGCACTATCAGGACAGAGCCCAGTGTAGGGCTCAAACTCAGAAGCCATGAGATCATGACCTGAGCCAAAACCAAGAATTGGACTCTTAACTGACTGAGCCATCCAGATGCCCCTAACTCATTTTTTATGGTATTAGATTTTTCATAATGGAAGTAACAGAAGGTTTACCATAGGGAGCCAACAGAACAAGAATAGTATTCTGAGGGCCCATGAGGATCAGTGATACTAGCTGGAGGGGGCCGGTGGTAACAATCTAAAGCCATGAAGAAATAAAAAGTGATGGAATATAGATGGTTTCTTTCTTTCCTTCTCTTTTCTTCTTTTTTCCTTTCCTTTCCCCCTCCTCCCTTCCTCCCTCCCTTCCTTCCTCTCTCCCTTCCTCTCTCCCTCCCTTCCTTCTTTCCTTCCTTCCTTCCATTCATCCATCCATCCATCCATCCATCCCAAATAAGAAGGGAAGGGAGTCATGAGAGACACAAACACAGAGAAACATGGCTGTAGGGTCACAATGGAGGTAGCATGATATAATTGGAAAAGCTATGAGCTAAGGTTCAGAAGAGCCTGGCTTCTAGTCTAGGAGGTCTGTTTGGCCCCTTCAAGCTTCTACTAACTGGGATTCTAATAGAGAGAAATAGGAAAGTAGAAGGGCTTGGGAAGGCTTTGGGTTTCAGAATTCTCTCTGAATAAGCCAGCCCTGATTATTTCGTTCACTACATTATTTCTATTTACTACATTATTTTCTGGGCAGCAGCAAACTACACTAACTCTGATGGGTTCTATAGGACTTTTCTCCTTCCATTTAGGACTGCAGACCACATGGCTTAAACCCCGAGGCTTACTAACTAGTTAGGATCTTTTTCAATGACTTCACCGGTTTTATTGTCAATCAATTTCGCTTGCTCACTACTCCAGCCCACTGGCTTTCTTGCTATTTTTAAAAAATTTTTTAAATGTTTTTTTTTTTTTTTTCTGAGAGAGAGAGAGACAGACAGACAGACAGCGTGAACAGGGGAGGGTCAGAGAGAGAGGGAGACACAGAATCTGAAGCAGGCTCCAGGCTCTGAGCTAGCTGTCAGCACAGAGCCTGACGGCAGGCTCCAACCCACGAACTGTGAGATCATGACCTGAGCTGAAGTTGGATGCTTAACTGACTGAGCCACCCAGGCTCCCCTTTTTTGCTATTTTTGAACATCTCAAGCCCATTTTCACCTCAGGGACTTTGTCTTGCTATTTATTCCCTCAACTTTGGAAAACTCTATCTGTCCCCCAGATAGCTACATACCTTGCTCCTTCATTTTATTCAGCCTTCCTAGATCACCCAATTTAAAATATCAACTACATCCTTCTTACTTTTATTATGTGTTTAAACAGCTTTATTTGTTTATTTTTGAGAGAGAGAGGGAGAGAGAGAGAGAAAGAGAGAATGAATCTTAAGTAGGCTCCACACCCAATGCAGGACTCAGTCTCATGACCCTGAGATCATGCCCTGATGCAAAATCAAGAATCAGCCGCTTAACCGACTGAGCTGCCCAGGTGCCCCTTGGCTTTATTTTTCATCTTTTTTTCTGCAGTACTCTCTGGCCTATGGTATATTTGTTGATTTGTTGAGAGCAGCAATTTTGTTTTCTTTTATTTCCTCAGTACCAGGAATAGGGCCAATAAGTTTTGTTGAACAAATGAAAAAATAAATTAGGCAGGACTGCTGTTTCAGATATAATTCCCACCAACTATGTGGATATTTAATAACCCACATTTTTGTAGTATATGTTCACAGTGGGAAATACTTTCTAACCTAGAGACTTGTATTTTGGGAGTACCTGGCTGACTCGATTGGTAGAACATGCAACTCTTGATTGTGAGGTTGTGAGTTTGAGCCCCATGTTGGGTGTAGAGATTACTTAAAAGTAAAACTCTTAAAAAAAAAAGAAACTTGTATTTTGGAAAAGATATCCCATTTTTGTAGTTTTTATAGAGTTGTTTTTAAAATAATGCTTGTAGTAGTTAGTTTAGTTAAAGGAGATTTGAAAAAAACCACCAGATGATTAACATGGCTTCTCATAAAAGATTTTCAAACACCTTATATCTGGATAGTAAAATAATTTTTACATATAACCGTATTTTAAAATTAATTTAATATAAATTTCACATAAAATAGAATTTAACAAAATGTATAATTTAAAATTGCTAATTGTAGGGGCGCCTGGGTGGCTCAGTCGGTTAAACGTCCAACTTCGGCTCAGGTCGTGATCTCACAGTTCGTGGGTTCGAGCCCCGCATTGGGCTCTGTGCTGACAGCTAGCTCAGAGCCTGGAGCCTGTTCCTGATTCTGTATCTCCCTTTCCCTCTGACTCTCCCCTGCTCACGCTGTCTCTCTCTCAGAAATAAAAAAAAAAATAAATAAATAAAATAAAATTGCTAATTGTAGCATTTTAGCAAAATGAAAACATAAGTCACACGTTAAATATGCAGTATGTAGGGGATGGTTCTATGGATATATTACAAATATAGAATCACTTAATATTTTATATATAATTCATTTCCTTTTCTTAATTTTCAGGAAATTTAGCAATTGGAATTTTGAAATATAAAGAAAAGTATTACACTTTCAGTACCAGAGATGCTGCATATTTATTTGCAGAAAGTCCTGAAAAGTATATTGATTTAATTAAGGAACAAGCCAAAAAAAATGTAGAATTAATTCAGCTACTGGAGCTTCATCAACAGTTCGAAACCCTCATTCCATATTCTCAAGTAAGCAGAATCAGTATTTTAAGAATGTATGACATTTAAAAGTATAGTTAATTAAAATGTTATGCATTGTTGTAGAGTATTCCAAAGTTCAGGCTGATTGGATCAGAAGACGGCCCTTAATGCTATTGGAAAGAGATTCACCCAGAAAAGGAAACTAATGAAATCAAGATAAGGAGTCAAATTGATAAATTAGACTGGAAAAATCTGGAAGAGAAAGACTACATTTAGATAAATAATTGTCTATAGGATTTCCTTTTCTAAAATTAAAGGAGCTTAGCAGAGATAACACAGGTGATAACTTAGAGTTGTAAGATAATGCTTTCTGATGTATTTTATTACCTGATACGGCAAGCTCTTCCTTTTGCCTTTTATTTTTTCAAAATTGTCTTAGCCATGCATGGAAGTTTTCTTAATAAATTTGCTAAGTATCTCCCAAAATCTTACTTAGATTTTAACTGGAATTGCATTAAAATAATCAAAGAATTTTTATGTTTATATATTGGGCTGTCCCATTCATAGTAAGTACCATTTAGGGTTTTTTTTAAAATAATTACTAGTTTCATTAATTATATCTTAATAAAACTCAATGGTTTTAGTTATACTTTCTCCTGTGCCCACTTCTAAAACTGCATGTGATCCCAGTGGTGACTGGTAATACTAATATTAATATATGGTTTTTCCACTCAGCATGATGACACCTCCATTCAATTAACAGTTCTCCTATGGAATGGGTTTGTTTCTAGGCTTTCAGTTGTGTTCTACTGGCTTGTGCTCTCCAAGTTTTGTAATTTTTATTCTATTTTTTTTAAGTTTATTTATTTATTTTGAGAGAGAGAGAGAGAGCAAGAGTGAGAGAGAGCGAGCACAGGCAGGGGAGGGGCAGAGAAAGAGAGAGATGGAGAGAGAAAGAATCCCAAGCAGGCTTCGTACTGCCAGTGCAGAACCCAACATGGGGCTTGAACCCATAAACTTGATATGGGAGGTATATTTTGGGAGGAGAAAACCTAACATCACTCATTCCTAAATCAAATTCCCTTTTCCACTTTTCACAATTGGTAGCACATGTGAATACTTTGTTGAAAATGGACTGAAGTCAGTCATGAGATCATGACCTGAGCCAAAACCAAGAGTTAGATACTCAACCAACTGAGCCACGTAGGCACTCCTCTATTTTTCATTCTTTTTGTGATATCTTTTTATAAATGGAAGTTTTTCATTTCAATATGTCACTTATTAATCTTTTTTTCATGTCTCAAACTTTTGTCTTAAGAAATCTTCATGTATCTTAGATCATAAAAATAGTCTCCTATATTGTTTTATAAAAAAATATGGATTTGCTTTTCACACCTGAGTCTTTAATTGACTTGGATTTTATTTTTGTGTCTAGTGGGAGGTGAAGATCCAATTTTAATTTTTTTTCTGTTTGAGTATTGAGTTGTCCCATACAATTTGTTCAATATCCTTTCCTTTCCCCATATCTACAGTGTCTTAAATGCACAGACTTAATTTTTAGTTTCTATATTCTATTCAATTGTTCAATTTTTTAAAAATCCCTGTATCTATATCTTACTATAGATTTATAGTAAGTTTTGATACCTGGTAGAGTAAGTT